TCTCATGCATGTGAAGGAAGTTCAAATTCAGCTCAACACAAATCTGTATTGTTGGGATCAAGAGGCTGTGTTGCCCGTAGGTTCTTGTTGCCTTTGAAGCATTTGCGCCCTGCAGCATTCACCCAACGATCTGTAGTGCGAACCGAAGACCTCAGTTGTGACCTGGATAAGGGTCCCAAGTCGAATCGCGAAACAACCGCGCTGTTGCTCCATAGCAGCGTGCTCTTGGCCGTCGGGGATTTGTAGTGCTTCATCCAGAACCGCTGTTTCCATACCTGGGTGGTATTGCATGATTATAGACCCCACACCGTTTCTTGAACAGCCTTTTGGGTCACTTCCTACAGATTGAAACAAGACTCTCTCACAGACACATTCGCAAAGCTTTGAAGCATCTGTCTCAGACGATCATGGCCAAATATCAGCGAGGATCCCGGTTGTTCAAGTAGCCAAGTTGAACCCACAGCCGTAGCCAGCTGTAACAGTAGGGACACCCGACTGACGAGTCCATTGGCTGCTAGCACCCTCGGATAAGACTCGTTGCCCATAGGCCGATCTGGAGATCTCCCTGTAGATGCACGTGCACACATGACCCACGACGAACAGCACACCGCCACATGCACAATGCTGTTGTCTAGNNAGCTGATGATGGCGAGCCTCAGCTACTCTGCTAAAGGTGATGAGGGCGAGAACCAGCGAATGCATCCGAAGCAAGCAGCGGGACACACTTGTATTTGGGCAAGGAACACGAAGCCAGCATCTGTCATGATGTTCATGGCACCCTTTCGCTTCACCACACCATCATACAAAGCATCGAGTGCAGCACTCCTACGACCAATCATCCTGAATGCAGCACTTACTCGAGCAGCACCAGCAAACAGCTCCACGGTATCGTACTGGCAGCCATCAAGATTTGCATCTCCCAAGCATGTTGTCAGAAGAACAAGAAGTATGAAGGCCTCAGCTCACATTGCCCACACTACCTATGTTCATCTAGACTACATAGGTCGGTAATCAGAAGCCTAGCCACCTTTGGAGCTCCCAAAACAGCGAGCCGCTTAACAACCAAAGCCACTTCACAGGATAGGACCATGGCAGCAATCCAACCCCAGGCCTAAGGTTCGCTACAGGTATGCAAAAAAATAGAAACGGGCCAACTGACATCTAATTGGATACTTTGCTCTGACCCACACAAGGACAGACAGTGCTGCTGGAAGTCCACGAGCAGCATGGTTTCGGTGGCCGGGCTTTTGGGGGCTTCTAAGGTCTATAACCCTATATTACAAACCCTAGTAAACCCTAAACTCCTATAAACTTTATAAACCCTAAACCCCTATAATCGTTGTTATTCGGGGCTTGGATACTCTAAGACTGCTAAAGCGATATGGTCTCTTTTCGATCCTAGGATCAACGGAACATTGTGTTGTGAATATGTTACAATGTTTTCGAGCCTTCAAGGAACCTGCGTGGTGTGTTAATTGGCAGGGAAGCTGAGCAGAATGAAAGCACAAGACTACTGGACACTGTGTACAATAATTTTTCAGTCTGGCTCAGTTGGATATTGTGCTGGGTTTCATCTGTTGTCCAGGGACTTTATAAAGTTTTGGGGTTTGATGGTTTGGGGCTTGCCAGGAACTTCGGAGGCTTCGGTCATGTTGTTTGGAACTTTCAAGCTCAGTATATTAGGCTTGGGGGAATTAAAGGCAGTGGGCTTCGAGTGAGGGCTTGCTTCAGCTTGTAGCAATATAGGGTTGAGGGGTGTAGGGTTTAGTGGGGGTTGGGGCTTCTGTGACTATTTAGTCTATTTCTTAAGATTGCGGAGACGAGACTCAACAGCCTCAGATCAGCCCACAAAACCCGATAACAAAACAAGTCACCCGATCGTGTAAGAGGATGTTACAACTACACTTTAAGTCAAGATGTATAACAACATTTGAAGACTTATAATTATGAAGGAGTCCACGGTTCGGGGTTCCTAGCCATATAGATCCTAACCCTATCCAAAGCGGCCCCAGAAATCATCTTTCGCAATGAGCTCTTCATACTTGTATATGTCACCTAGACACTGGTACATTTAGGGGATCCCAACTTCTACATTACACCCTGGCCTAGCCCAAGCTCCTTACAAACCCCAAGAGCCAATCTAAACCCAAACAACAAAGCTCCTTAACAATCCTAAACAGCTTCAGCCCTGTTATAAATCCCTGACATAGCATCCCTCAAAAACCCACCATACTTTCGGGCCCAACATCCGAATCTGCAAAGCTTGGCGTGTGTGTCTGTGTGTATGGCAATGCAACCCTGGGATCCAGTAGCCAATGTTCTATCTGAAATGTATCTGTGTAGCTGTATAGTCAGCTACCAGGCAAATCTAGTTTGGCTATAGATTGTTGGCCACTGCTCTGGCTCCTAGTGTTGAGAGGGGTTCGGGTATATTGGAGGTCCATCGTTTCTGGCGGGCTTTTTCCCGTTGCGATACCTATACATGTGGCCAGTGTTACAGCATTGTAGGGTTGAATATTTGGGTATATCCATATTTAGAACCTTAGGGTCGAGTGATGGCAAAACTACTAACAACCTTGTGTCCACATGGGTTAGAAGTTGTAATTGTAAGTACTCTTGCAAAGTCATATAGGTTCTTCGATACTTAGAGTAAGACGAATACAAGAACCAGACCCCTCATAGTCTATTGTAGCCCCAAAGCCCAAACCCGACCGAACCCACGATCCCTGTTTGGGTGGGCGGCTGACCTCGATCGCGCTGGAGCGAAACTCCAAACTTCGCGGCTTGGACGAGGAGCGGCATGAGACCTGAGAGAGACAGGCACAGCATTCGGGGAGTGGTACGATGCACAGGGCAGGGCTAGCAAGAGCAAGTCTGTAGACTGCACATGCAATTGTGTTGCTGAAGCATGCAAGCGATCCTTTCAGTCGCACAGCACCTGGGTCCATTCGTTCCTTTAGTAAAGCGTGCATACACATGCAGATGTCATGCTTTTGCATGCATACGTGCAAGACACACATTGCTAGAGAGCACGAACACTTCTGTTAAGATGCGCTAGAGGCTCCCATTGTGCACAAAATTAAAATCATTTCTTCGTGCAAAAAACACTTGTCAAGATACGTGTAGAAAACACGATGCACCTGATTATCGGCCAGCCCTCACCTGTTGCCCATGAAGATATTCTTCTTCTGCTCCAGGATATCTGCAACCCCTTTGTAGTCACCCATGCTGACTTCCACGATCTCCGCCTCAGTTCCATTCAGATCTCGGGTGCAGCACTGCATGCAGCACCTATATCTGCTTTGCAAAGGAGAGTCCATGGAAATGGCAAAGTCAATGTTGTGCTGCATAGACAGCCGCTTGTTGCTCACATAGAAGATCTGTCACATGGCACATGGTGCCAGAACAGCAGAGGATTGCATGCATATGAATGACCAACAAGGAACCCCGTCACCCGGAAACATACCCACCCCTCCTGCTTCTTTTCGTCTTTGAGCTTGATGCCCACCCCAACTCTGGTCCAGTACACACTCAGCTCGACATACTCAAACAATGGCAGGTTTGCCAACTCAGGGTGCTTCTTTCTGGCACACCCAATTCGCCGCCGCTTCTCCTCCCGAACAGGGGCACCCCCTGCAGCCGGGGCAATCGGTCGGTCCTGCTCTTCCAGAGCAGCCTGAGGTGCCATCGGGATCGGCTCCACGGCATGCTC